TATTTTTTTTTTTTTTTGCGGTACCGGGGATTGAACTCAGGACCTTGTGCTTGCCATGCAAGCGCTTATTCTATTGTGTCATCTCCCCAGTCCCTGAACTGTTTATTAAGCAATATTTATTTTGCTTTGTCAGGGAGTATAGGCAGATGTCACACTGAGTTTGAAGCCAAGACAGAAAATGGCAGTTTAATCCTCCCCCTGCCCCCCGCTTCTTTCCTCCCTCCACCTCTCCCCCTGAAATGCTAGCTTTGAGGTTTTCTCAGACTGCTCTACTGACTGATCCCTACCTTTTAGGATAGTGCCTGGTGTACGGTAAGCACGTAAGTATTCGTGAGGTAAGTAAGTGTCTCAAGTTGCTTCTAATCTCTAAATAACTATTGGTCATCGCTAGCGCCACAAGTTGGGATATGAGGCCTCTTGTTATATAGTGAAAGTGTCTTTTTCTCCCAGTTGTTTATGGTGCTTCAGGTTTGGGGCAGAGTTCAGCAGAATCCTCCTGAGGGAATCTTACCTTTCTAAAATGGGGTCGGTATGGGCTGGGGCTTCTTTTTATCCGTAGATCCTAGCATTCAAGATTTCTCCTGAAATTACTTGTTAAATGACAGAATGGACGAGTCCTGGGGTCTGCCTTGTTCCCTGAGCCTGGTGGACCTGCAAATCAACCCTATTCTGGGGTATAGCCAGGTTTTTTTTTTGTTGTTGTTGTTGCTGTTTTTTATAGGGTCTTGCTATGTAGTTCATACTGGCCTTGAACTCACCATGTAGTCCGGGCTAGTCTTGTAGAATCCTCAGCGATTCTGCTGTCTCCGCCTCCCAAGTGCTGGGCCTATAGGCATGTGTTGCTATGTCCGGCTCACAGCCAGTTTTTTTTAAATTATTTTTAGCTTATGGGCTATTTCAAACTCACAGGTATTAGTTTACTTGTATTTGTTGGACTGCGACACATCTGTCGTGTGCTACGCTATGAGCACAGGTACTGTACCGTAAGCTACCACAGGAAGCTAATGATTTGAAAACTTCCTCTCACAGGCTAGAGAAGGTTTCTGCAGAAGATACCCTTCTACCACTGTGACCAAGATACCGCCATGGTGGCGGTCGATGGCTCCTGGGTAGGATGTCCCCTTCCTGCTGCTGGGGCAGGAGACGCTGAGAGGCGGGCTGGGGGGGGGGGGATTTTAGCAGTGCACGGCCACTCTCCACCCACCCAGCCCCACAGTCTCGGCGTGTGTGCGTGCGGCTCACCTGGCCGCCACGTGTGCCCAGGCCTGCATGTAGAGCTCTGGGTGGAGGAAGTGGGCTTCCGTCTGGGCCGGGCACTTGTCCACGCGAGCGGCGGTGAGATACGAGACGGACTGAGGCAGAGACTTCCGCGATGCAGGGTCGCTGGCCTCCCACGCTTGCCGGCAGTTCTTCACCAGAAACCTGGGGGCGAGGGTGGGCACGGTGAGGCGGGGCTCCCCCGTGTCCGCAGGAGCCGCTCAGCCTGCACGCACCCTGAGACTCGGGGCTCAGGGCTCGGCAGACGTGTTATAGCCCGGACAGAACCCTCTGCAGGCTGCCTGGGCTTCTGCTTCGAGGGCCGATGCTGACCTATAGAAGCCGAGGACAGGGCGCAGGTGAACGACGCAAATGACGCAGGACATGGGGGTGATGGGGGACCCCACAGTGTCCCCGTGGTGCTGCTCAGAGACCAGGGGCCAGGCGGTGCCCTGGGGTCCGCATCACCTCCGTCTCTAGCTGAGGATCCACTTACCCAGTGGGCAACTGAACAAGAGTATGTGCAAGGTGCTTGCCACTGTGCTAGGCTGGGTGCCTCGTCGCACCGTATTCTGTTTGTATGACTTAAGAAACCCTGCAAAGGCCTTGCGTTCTGTCTGCCAGTACATTCCTGTCTCCCTGTGTACAGAATGGGAAGAAAGCCTCTGGCGGCCTCAGGGAGGCGGCAGAGAACCTGGAGGAGGCTGGATCAGCCATTCCTTCCTTCCTCTTGGCTTTGGCAGCGCCCCTTTTGGTGGCACTGGAGGTTGAAGCCCCGCTTCTCACTGAGTGACTCCCCTGGCCTCTTTCATCTTTTTGAGACAGGGTCTCAGACATCACTAAGTCATCCAGGTTGGGCTTGAGCCTACGATCCTCTTGCCTCAGCTTCCCAGCTTGCTAGAGCTACAGGCATGCACCACTATGCCTGGTTTGAAGTCTTGCATGTTGGTTCTGTACTGAGCCTCGGACATTAGAGGCAGGAGAGTTCCCTGCCCTCTTGGGACTCTCGTAGAGCCAGGGAGCGGAGCTAGGAAGGGAAGTCCAAGCACACCAGCAATGGTAACAGTGGAGCCCACGATGTGGAGGGGGGTTTTCCTTTGAGCAACGGGAGGACAGTGAGCCCTTTTATTTTATTTACATTTTTTGGGATTTAGGACAGGGTGTACAGGGTGTACAGGGTCTCACTGCGTAGATCAGACTTGCAGTGATTCTCCTGTTTACAGCCTCCCAAGTGCTGGGATTACAGGCGTGCACCACCACGCCCAGTCTCCAGGGATGGGGCCAGCACGCCAGGCCTAGGGATGGCCTAAGCAGGTGCTTTAATCTGCTGAGCTATTTGGCTGCCCCTGAGCACTTTTAAACAACAGAGAGATTCAACTTTCTCTAGATTTTGAAAGATGCCTGTCCCACTTAAGGAGAAGTGGGACAGGAGAATAAACAGCTGGGCGACTCATGTCTGTAATCCTGGCACAAGGAGGCTGAGGCAGGAAGATTGCGGTGGGTTTAAGGCCATCTTTGTTACAGTGCGAGTTCAAGGCCAGCCTCAACCACATAGCGAGAACTTGTTTCAAACAAAACAAAACAGCAAAGAATCAGGACACCAGAGAGGAGACTCATGTTGCTGTCTAGTGGGAAAGGGTGGTGGCCTCTCTCAGTGGCATGAGAGACAAGCTGCGGGGCTTATCAGGGCCCTGCAAGCCTGCGCCCTCTGTGGGCTTCAGGCAGATGCCTGACCTAGCAGAAGCTGAGGCGCTCCAAGGGGCTCAGGGGATACCTGGCCACTTTGGGTCTTACCTGGCTACCTGGAGGTACAGCACCGTATTCTCACCCTCGTAGGTGCAGGAGGCCAGCAAGTAGGTGGCCAGGGATGGCATGCCGCTGAGCTTGGAGTAGCCATGTCCACCGCAGGCCCTACGGCACAGCTCAACCCCGTGGGCGCCGAACTCCGTCATCATGGCCTTGGAGCCCGTGGTCAGCGCGTGGAGCTGTCAGGACGGGAGCGGTCAGGCCTTGTTGGGGGACCCTGCAGTGACAGCGGCATCCCCCTGGCCAAGCACTTACACATGCTGAGCCCTGCTTGGTCAGGTTGGGGCTTACTTAGCTCACACTTTATGAGTAAGAAAGCTGAGACTCAGTCACACACGCAGGCACTATCACCTGGGCGTAACAAGGGTGAAGGACACCTGTCCCCGCCAGGGTCTCAGGGCCTCCGCCACCTTCTGCAGAGAGTGCTGCCCGGAGGGGGCCCCTGCCCCCCAGCAGTTGTGCAGTTGGGCACAGGTTCTGGCAAGCTGGCCTGCGAGCACAAGTGCCCAACATCAGTCAACCCACTGCTTGGCTTCTGGTGTGGGCCATGGTCTGACCGTGTCCACCCAAAATTCGTGTTAAAATCCTAAACTGCAAAGGGATGCTATCAGGAGGTTAGTGAGCAGGTCGGGAGGACGAAGCCTTCCCGAGTAGGGTCGTGGGTGCTATGCCCCCAGCTCCGGCTGGGATCTGATGGCACTGCAAATTATCATTATCAAGAGGTGGGTGGGACCTGAGTCCCTTGTGAGGGAGGAACACCGGTATGGGGAGTGGGTCAATAGGAAAGTAAGCCCTTCCTGCCGCTTCCTCAAATGAGCTCCTGCCTGCCGTGCCCTCTGCCACGCCATGATGCGAGATGGCCCTTACCAGCCGGAGGGTTCCTGGCGGAGTCTACTGATCCATTTCCCCGGCCCACCTTTATTTTCTTCATCAATTATCCTTCTACTCTATAGTAGGATCCTCTTTCTTGCTTTTCTCTTCTTTTCATCTCCCATTTTTTCAAGTTTTGCACCCTCCCCTTCCCAACCCCCTATATCTTTGATAATATCACCTTAGGCTTCATTAGTCATTGGTGGAGGTATAGTTATTGCATTTAGTACATAACTGCTGTAGATCAATATTTGGTTTGTCATAGAGTGTAAACCATTTAGTTTCTCTTTAAAAAAAAAAATTATTCTTGAGACACAGTCTTATTATGTAGCTCAGGGTGACCTTAACTTCACTATGTAGCTGAGGCTGGCCTCAAGCTTGTGATGATCCTCCTGCCTCAGCCTCCCGAGTGCTGGGACTATAGGTGTGAGCCACCACACCAGGCCATTTGATTCTTTTTTTTTTCTTCTTTTTTTATGTATTTGGTAAGGGTCTACAGGGTCTCACTACACAGATCTGACTTGTAGTGATTCTATTTTTAACCTCCCAAGCACTGGGATTACAGGTGCTCACCACCACGCCCAGTCTCCAACGCCATCTCAGCATGTCCCAGGAGGGGGGCCAGCACAGCATGCAGGAGATCGACCCCCGGCCTTTGTGCTCTGCCGAAACAGGCGCTTCAGTCTGCTGAGCTATCTGGCCGGCCCTTAGGCCATTTGATTCTTACGCTATGCCAATATCCAGTTGGTTTTGGATAATGTCACTGTTGCTGATGTACTTGATATTCCATGGCAGAGCAACTGTTGCTATTTATTTATTTATTTTTATTTTTATTTTTTTGCTCCGCATGCCTTCAGGGCAGGTTTGGCTGGCTTGAGTTGTGGGGATCGACAGCAACCTGAGCCTGACTGCTTTGTTGAAGCAGCCACTTAAAGAACTGAGCTAAGGGGCAGGCCCCCCACTGTTGCTATTTATGCCAATGCCGAGATTCCCTTTGTGTCATTAACAATACCGAGGCCCATTCCCAGAGAGCTGGGGTGGCCTATTACACAGCATCCCCCCGCTCCAGTATTAACAGAGCCGATGGGGTCTTGGCCGGCAAAGGGCTACAGTTAGCCACGCCCTTGGAGTGTCCCTGAAAAGCAGACGAACTAAAGACCTCTCCGTACTAGCATCTAAGTCTTTTCACTGTAAGTGCCCATAAACCTACGCACAAAACAAACAAAAAGCAACAGAAAGGTGAGAAGACAGGGCAACAAAGTGCCTCCTGAGGGCTGGTGAGATGGCTCAGTGGTCTAAAGCACCTACGTAGAACAAGCTTAGCAAAGCACAGAGACCACACCACATGCCAGCCAGCCCCGCCCCCTGGTGGGCTGAGCGGGCCACGCGCACACACACACACACACACACACACACACATAAAAAATTAAAAAACAAAAAAACAAAGTGCCTCCTGAAACCCCTAACTCCCCCAAAGCCAGTCCACGGGGCACTGAGGGGTTAGAATGCAGAAGCCCCACTGAGTTATCTGAAAGGGTGACAGATTAAAAATCACACCAGTGAGGTGCTTTTTGACAGAAAATACAACTAATGAACTAATGGAAGAAGAGGTAGGTGGAAGGCCTTTCCTTTTCCCTGTGTCTCAGTGTGCTCATCTGTAAAATGGGAATATAAATGGTACCTACTACATGGTAGATAGATAGATAGATAGATAGATAGATAGATAGATAGATAGGTAGATAGATAGATATAGCTAGATTGGCTTTGGGGAGGCCTTAGGGAACATAGTACTATTTCTGTCAATTTGTGCCCATTAGAGTAGATCAAGTCAGCTCAGGCTGGGGAATACCACGCTACCGAATGAATTCCAAATGAGTTTTGGTTTCCGGAGCTCCTCTGCTGTCAAGTTCGCTTTGGGGAGTACAGGTCTGTTTTCTCTGTGCTCTCTGTAAGTATCTCCTCTGGTGTCGCTGGAGCTCACTGGGCCCAGGTTCAGGGGCCACTAGGGCCCTGGGAACTTGGGGGAAGGCTGGGGAGAGGACCCAGGGGTTGGGACTGTCTTAGCCACCCTGGGGCCACCGCTCGCGGGCAGCTGACGGTACCTCGGGCAAGAGGCTCATGTCTTTGTTCCGGATGGCGTCATAGGACCGGTGGAAGAAGTCCATGATGCTGGCCACCTGGAAATGGAAGGCATAACCCATGGCCAGTGGAAAAATGAGTTTCTGTTGCTGGGTCTGGTAGTCCAGGATTTTTGCCTCGGGGTCACTGAGGAGGAAAAGAAGCAGAGGGTCTGGGAAGCTGGTTTGGGCCAGGTTCGTCTTCTTCTGTCCCTGGCAGCACAAAGGCTTTTGTCCTGAAGTGATCTGTAACTCATGGCAAAGGTGGCAGGAGGCTAGGAGCAGTCTCCTGGAGGCTTATCTAACGTGAATATGCATACACTTTGCTGCAGGAATGTCGCCAGGCTTGCTTGTAGGTACTGCTTCTTGCGGAGAGGATTACACAATTACAGCATGCTGTACCACCTTACCCTAAAATTTGAAATGTTCTGAAGTTGAACACATTGGGTCCCTGGGGTTGTATAACGGGCGGTGGATCTGAGCCGCCCGTACCCTCTTGCTGTGTGGTAGGAAGCATGTCACACCTACTCGGCCTGTGGCAACCTGAGGAGGGGATGGTGTCGGCCTTGTCCGCTGCTGTGTCCGCGTCACTAGGACTGTGTTCAGCAAGTAGCAACTGTGACTGTGAGAAGCCTCCCCTGGCCGATGGGGCTGGGGCCTCGCTGGGCCCAGTGTGTGCTTTCTGTCACCACCCCAGAGCCAGCTCTGTGGTCCTCGCAGTTGGGGTGCAGGCTGGTAGCAGCTGCTGCACCTCCTTCCTAGTGCCCCTGCCCTCCAGGAATGATGCCCCCAGTCAGACACTGAGAGATGTGGGTTGATGTTAGAGGGAGCCAGAAAGCAGGACACCCCACCCCGCGTGGCCAGCTAGGACCCGATCCGGGCAGGGTGTGCGTGTGTGCTGTCCACGTCCAGTACTGGCTCTGGCAGTGAGATGCGTGAGGCCCCAGGTGCTGCAGGGCTGGGCCTTCTTCGTGTCTGCTGGGATCAGCTTTTGGGCGCCCCTTACCTGGGTCGGATCCGGGACTGGCGACGGATGACCGAGTAGCGTGTGGCGATGACACAGGCCTTCTGCAGGCCATACAGGACAATGTTCCTCAGCATGTACACGCGGGTCACCACCATTGGCAGGTAGTTGACCTGTGCTATCCCGTGTCTGACATAGGTGCCATCCGGCGAGACCTGCGTGGAACAAGGCCAGGCCAGGTTGGGGTTGGGGCGGAAGGCCCTGTCCTGCAATGTCCTCTGCTATGGCTCCTACTCCCGTGCTCTTCCTGTTCACCAGAAGCAGCCCACAGGTGTGGCCACGGCAGAACATGCACTGCGGACGCTTCCTCGCTGTGGCCACCCCGCCATGTCCCCAAGGGTCCTGGGTCACTGCCACTCCACTGCATGATCCTCAACTTCCCCACGAGCTACAACTAAAGCGAGGAGCCTAGTACAACTGGGGCCTCCAGATCTGCGGCAATCAGCTCAGTGTCTGTCCTAAGGGGTCTAACCCAGGCCCCTCCCTTCTGGGGGTCAGCCTGAGACCCGACCCCCACAGTTCTCTCCCATCACAGGGGAAGGCTGAGACTCAGAGAGGCGAAGTGCCCTCCTGAGGTCGCTCAGCTCTGTAGCTGGGCTCTTGCTGTGCTCTGTGGACACCAGGGCCTCTCCCAACTCAGGTATAGGCAGGGGGACTGAGAACTGGCGGCACCCTGGCAAAGCATCCGTCCCCTGTCCAGGCCCTTGACCTGGGTGAAGCGGCTCAGCATGTTCTCCCTAGGGACTCGCACATGATCCAGCCGAAGGAAGCCATTGTCTGTGATTTCTATGCCCATCTTGGGCCCGATGTCTCCGACGGTGATTCCTAGGAGATGGAGGCGAGAACGCCTGTCAGCCGTGTGCCTGCTTCGCGCTGGATGTGGCAGACACGCTCGGGCCCACAGCAGCCTGTGACCTCGGAGTTACTGCCCCTGCCATGCAGGGGATGCAAGCTGAGGTCAGAAGATGCTGAGTCCTGTTCAAGGTCACCTGGCCAATTAGCCGCAGGTGTGACTGGACCCCTGTGGCCCAAGGGAGACCTGTCTCAAGGGAGCAGCACAGCTCACCTGGCAGCGGGGTGTGGTCCTGCAGGCTCCGGATGGGCACCATAAAGGCGTGCATGCCCCACCGGGCTCCTGAGCAGGTCAGCTGGGCCATGACGAGGGCGTGGGTGGCTGCCTGTCCCACTGAAGGTGGTAAGATGAGAAGCATGTCACAGAAAGACTGGCGCACTGCTGTCCCCACCCCAGAATCCAGGGCTGGGGCTCCCTGATGAGCAGCTGAGTCCTCAAAAAGTCACTGGTAGCAGGCAGGAGGACTTGTCCCCAAATGACCAGATGGAACTGACAGTGATGTGGCTAAGGAGCTGGGAAACAAGCAAGGCTTTTAAGCCATTTTGGCCCTCATCAGCGCTCTCAATGAATCGCTGTCACTAACCTTAGAATAATGGACACAGATGGGGCCACTCATCCGAAATTCTGTATTGATGTTTTCCATTTCTCCCAAGGCAATAGGTAAGCCTGGTTTTCCAGGGGCCCAGAAAGCGGAGTGACGCACTGGTCGCTCGTGTGGAGGAGGTGGGGTGGGGATTTGAACTCTGCTCTGCCTGATCTTAAAGGCTGCCTTATCTTCTGCAGCTTTGTCTGTCTGTCCGACCGTCTTTCCTCCCTGCCTGACTCTCACCTCTTTGACTCCCTTCTGCTTCAATTGGTTTCTTTCCATTTGCTTTGTTTTCTACCCTGGAATTCACGGTCCCCAGACACCCCAGATGTGTTCGAAGAAGGGAGTTCTCAAAAGCCCAAGTGCAGGGACTTGGGGATGCCCTTCTTGGGGCCTGACCATCACAGTGCCTCAGAGATGCTTGGTGTGAGCGCCACCTGGTGGCCATCTGATGAGAGCTGGTGGCGCAAAGCTTCCGGAGCAGGGTAGGCAGGGGCAGAGGCAGAGGTCACTGGCGGGGAAGGTGACCTCACCAACAGTGCACACACTCTGCAGCCACAGCACTGTGCTCGGGCTGGTGGCAGGCTTGATCATTAACTCGGGAGATGCCAGCCCTTGGGGTTGTGGGGCCAGGCCCAGTATGTGTGCCTGTGCTGTATGTGTGGGGGGTGGCACGTGCCCAAGGTTGGGGCCATTCCTGTACCTATTTCAAAGTTCCTTGGAGTCCTCCCAGCCACTCACCAATGAAACTCCTGATGTCCCACCCATTTCAGAGAGGTGTATGAATGTGCCCAGGGTGACAGGTGAAGAATAGGAAGTCTCCCTAAGGTCTGCTGGCATCTGAGCCAGGCTGTTTAGCCCCCAGCGTCTGCTCCTCGGACACACAGGGAAGGGCCTGGGCAGATACTCACAGTCTCCAGGCCACCACTTGGTGGCAGTCATTGTGGGGCTGTGTATCACAAACTCCTGCGTGGCTGCGTCATAGGTGGCTTCAGTCTCCAGGCCCTGAAGGTAGGTCCCTTGGGACACAGGAGGGCAGTCAGCATTGGGTGAGGAAGGGTTCTTACCAGGGCAGGCGCTTCTGGGTGGGCGTGGCCTCTGAGGCGCTGGCTCGTGCGGAGCAGGGCTCAGGGCTTTGCTGTGTGTGCACTGCTGTTTCTCCTTTCATCTGTGGGTATGTGGGACCTGCACGCATGTGTGCAAGGGGTAATTTGCCCCATGGGTGGCACATACAGTGTATTTGTGCACATTAGCAAAGGGTCCCTTCCTCAAGACCCCTACATGTTACTTGCTGGAAGGTTTTCAAATTAAACATAACTCTCCGAGCTGTGAATGGGACCTCTGGAGTCATGCAGTGAACACTGTGTGCGCCACCCCTGGCTTACCGTGTCCCATTTCTGTCTGTGCATATGATACGATGATCTGGTATGTTTTGCAGAGCGGGACCCATTTGGCAATCTGTTCCTCTGAGCCCAGGCTCTTGATGGCATTCATGGCAACACTGTGCACCCCGAGACTTATATCTCCAGAAAGGGCCCTGTGGGGGTGAGATGCTGTGACTCAGCAGTTTACAGAGATGAAGGCCGAGAACCCTCAGCCTGGTGGGGTGCAGGAGGGAAGGGCCACTGGTGCCTGTCCCGCGAGGAGTGGGGCAGCCCGGGGAGCACCTGTAAATGTATTGAAACTCGAGGCTGTCATCTGGCCAGTCCATGCGCTTGGCTAGCTTTTGGATGAGGAATAGTCTCTGAGTAGCGGCCTGGAAATGCTCGTCCTGGGTCATGAAGTGAGTGTGGATCAGGTTGAATGCTGGATCATCGCGGACAAGGGTTTCTGCAGGGGAGGAGAACATGGGCCTGAGATGCCATGAGCGCTCTCGTTGTCCATCTTTCCATCCTTTGCCCCAGACCTGGGAGGGCAGTCAGACGTTAGTCATTTTACAGATGAGACCACTGAAGTCCTGATGGGGACTGTGACCTGTCAAGGTGACAGAGCTATGGGGTGGCAGAGTTAGGACCAGCAACCAGCTCTGTGGCAGCCCGGGATGCTTCTGTCACTGAGATGGACCAGGGAATAGTGGACAGCTCATTCACATCCAGAATAGTGAACAGCTCATTCACATCGGAAGACAGGAATCTCTAACAGCAAGTTATTTGAAGGTGGGAGTGCCAGTCAAGTGCTCTTCTAAGAAGAGCATGTAGGAGCCAGGCACCAACACTTGTAGAGGACGCCCCAGGCCTAGGCAAGGGGGATCCCAGCTTGGAGTTCGAGCCCAGCAATTGAGCCACTTAGCAAGATCCTGTCTCAGAATACAAAATAAAAAAAGGGCAGAGAATGTAGCTCTGGGCAAAGGCCCTGAAATTCAGTATGGAAAAAAGGAGATGGGAGAGGGTGAGGGAGAGAGAGAGAAAGAGGGAGAGAGAGGGAGAGGAAGAAGGAGAGGGAGAGAGAAAGGGAGAGAGAGAGGGAGAGAGAGAGGGAGAGAGAGAG